GATCAAGCCCATTGGTCAAGGAGTGACCGATGGGAATCAAGCGGATGTTCCATCGGTCAAGCCTATCGATCAAACTAGACCGATGGGAAACAGGTTAAGCCCATCGATCAAGCCTATCGGTCAAGGAGTGACCGATGGGAAAGCAGCGGATGCACCATCGATCACTCCTATCGATCACTCAAGACCGATACAGTCCAGTCCGAACTTGCTTCTATTTACAACTTTGCCATTAATCTATGGTATTTGTCTTTTAGTATAAATAGACTTGATCTAATGTTTTTAAAATCAAGTATTGTTCTAGCTTAAGTTTTAAGAGTTTTCCAGTATTTTTTAAGAACAAGATCATATTTTTAATTAAAGTTTTGCATTTGCCTTTTAATTTCTTTTCTAATCTTCCGCTTAATCATGTTTAGCATCATTTACCCTTGTGATTTGGTGTTTTCCATGATGATTAGTGAGTAGACTCTTTAGGGTTATTAGATGTGGTATATTAGGGGAATTTAGAGGCTTGGTTAGGATTTGTTAGTGCTTAATTAGGTTGATTCCTCTCTATTAATCTGTTCTTAAGCTTGACTTGTCTTGATCACATGAATCTATAATTAGGCTTCATTTTATGCCCACCAAGTGTTTGATGAAATGCTGATCCTGGTTAATAGAGAACTTACTGGACTTAGCTCAAGAGATTGACTGTTTGAGGAGTATTTTGACTTGAATATAGAAGGTTATTCATGCTTGTTGATTGCTCTAGCACTAATGAGAGTTAGTTCTTGTTAGGATGATTAGCAAAGTGTTATTTGCCATGAGATTGGACTTAACTTTCTTTCATTATGAACTCTATGTCTAGGAATCAGCATTGATAGCTTGTTTGCTTTGTCAATGATGTTTGAAACAGCCTAAGTCTTGTCTTTGAATTTCTCAAAGTCAGTAACCACATCTAGGAACTTGTTTTCTCTTATTGAATTTCGAATTTTGCCATTTGCTCTGTTTTGTTTATTGATCATTGCTAAGTTATTCTCCTTTGAGTGCTGTTTGGTGTTTGATCACTTAGGTTGATAATTCTGGTTGTGTAAACAGCAAATCTTCTCTGAATTCACTTGACTTAGAGATTTCTGCTTGCAATTCTAGTGTTATTCATCTTAACCCCTTGGATTGACATAAAAACCTATGTTATACTACAACTGACTAGTACAAGCTTAGATGATTGAATCAAGACCTAAAAAATCTTGTATCAATAGGTATGCTTAAGCCTTTTGAAGTAGAACAATCTCTTTGCATCTTAGAACCTGTAACTTGAGCATGGATTCAAAACTTCCATTGGCATCTTTAGTTTTGAGCTCCCACTTTCAAACCTCACTCTCCCATTTGTTCTTATTTGCTTCAGGGCAAGCAAAAGGCAAGTGTGGGGGTGTTGATATCTCATTCATTTACATCATTTAGACTTGCATTTAGTTCATGTTATAGTCTCCTTTTGCATGTTTTCTCTCTCTTTAGTCCCATTTTCCCTTCCTTTTAGACTTTAGTTGCATTTAGGTTGTAGTTTGCATTCTCTATGCATTTAGGAGGTTTTTAGGTACTTAAGAAGCTATTGGGAACAAGGAAGAAGTGTGGGAATGGTTCAAGGAGTTAGCCAAGCTGAGAAGGAGCAGAAGGAGCTAAAGAAGGCGATTTCTGTCTTTCCATCGATCACAGCACGAAGCCCATCGGTCTGTTCTGGTCGATACAAGGCAGCAGAAGAATTGTAGATCCTATCGATCACCCCTGTCAGTCAAGCAGTGACCGATGGGAATGAAGCGGCTGTCAGTCAAGCAGTGACCGATGGGAATGAAGCGGATGCTCCATCGGTCATATGTATCGGCCAAGACTGACCGTTGGGATCCAGCAGAAGTCTATCGATCAAGCCTATCGGTCAAGGAGTGACCGATGGGAATCCAGCGAATGCTCCATCAATCACTCCTATCGATCACTAGTGACTGATACAGATCCAGACTGAAGACCACTTATTTACAATTTTGCCATTTTTGCTTAGACCCATATAAATACGAAAAATCCCTAATTTTTTGGGACATCTCTTCATCCAACAGTTTCTTCTTCTTTTGTTTCTGAATCTGAATTTGTAGCTTGAATCTTTGGTTTATTTCAATATAAGTTTGCTTTTATCTTCTTGAATTGCCTTTCTAATCATGATTAGCTATCTCTTTCTCCTTGAATTGATGGTTCTGATGGTGATTAGGGAGTAGTCTCTTTAGGGAATTGAGATGGGTTAGATTTAGGGGATTCTATGCTTTATCTATGATGTCTTAGTGTTAATTCTTTTATTTCCTTTCTTGATTGCTGTGTTTAATGCCTGATTAGCCTTAGCTAAGTTGATTAGGATCTTAGGCTCATTTTATGCCCACCCAGTGTTTGATGAAATGCCTGAACTGCTTTGCAAGAGAATTGGCAATATAGGATTAATATATATAGGATTGATAAATTGTCTTAATGCCTGCTGTTTAACATTTCACTAATGAAAATTAGTTCTTGACTTAGTAATTAGTAAAGAGATTAGTGCCAAGAGATTGGATTAGTCTTATAAATGAATTCTATGCATAAGGAATAGCATTGTAAGAGTTTGTAAGCATCATAGGTTTAGTTAAGAGTTCCCTAGCACCAATTCTCTCATCTCAAATCCCATCTTTTCTCTGTTTTTAGTTGAATTCGAATTTGCTCTATTTTTGCTTATGTTTTAGTAGTTTTGCTTGCTGTTCACTCTTAGTTTGGTGTTTGCTTCATTTCTATTTGATCATCTAGGTTGTTAGCTTTCTAAACTATTTATATCTGCTTGAATTAAGAGCTTTATTGCATTTCTACGGCTTCAATCTTCTCCTTTTAGATTGAGATAAAATATTTACTACAATGATTAGTACAAAGGGTGATTGAGAAAGGGTCTCAAAATTCTTGTATCGTGATACGCGGTACGGTCGCCGCGTCTATTTAGCCCTTAAGTGGCAAACCACCTAGGAATTTGGATAACCTATGTTCTATGCGTAGGAGGACGAGACAGGAGCGACTCTCCGACTTCTTTCTCTCCAGAGGATGAAATTCGGAGATACAGCTCCACCTTCAGACAAATTATATACCTCATGTAACATTCCAAAATTTACTCCCAAACAACTATATTAATCATAGTTAAACATATAAAATATTTTATAACCTACACAATGCAACAGACCAATCATCTAATTTTATTTTGATTAAGTATAAATGGTTTTCACTTTTTTGCAAATTTAATAAAACAAATGGAGTTTTAAGCAGAAAAAGAGTGGCATGAGTTGGTAATAAAACGTAAAAGCCGAGGGCATATATCACTAGCGATATTATATTTAGGAAAAGTCATATCGTGGGAACGAGAAAAAGTAGAGAGCATCGCATTCGCAGCTACACACGAAACGTTCATCTAAATAATTCCTGAGAAAAGAGAAATTTCTTCTGAAATTTATTCTCTTAGAAGATCATCGTGATTGTTTTGAACTTGATCCATTCATAGTGGTAAGCTCTCGTTTCGTCTCTCTTACGCATGATTTTGATACTCAGCTATAAAATTAGGGTTTCCAGAGTTGAATTAGGATTATATTTCGCCGATCGCTCCTCGTTAACTGAATTGTTTGTTCTGTTTGATTCCCATCGGTCGATTGTGCCAATCTCTGTCTGAATTTATACAAATATATTCTTCGAAATTCTAACATACCAGGCGATTGTGAAAACAGTTTTTGCTCATACGGAATTTGAGAAATTTTCTCTGTATGGTTAGAAATGTGCATCTCTGAAGAAGGCTTAGTTTCGATGATTAACTGAAGAAATTACTCTAGAGATTTCTGGAATCATACCATCAAAAGTAAACGCTTTGATATATTCTTTGATTCTCGATGGTGAATTTTGCCAATTTTTGTCTGAATTGAGATGAATATATTCGTTAACTTTTAACATATCACGCTATTATTAGAAAATCGCTTGCGCAGCTTTTTTTGATACGGAATTTTGAGATTGTTTCTTGCTATGTCTCTCTGTTGCGAAGAAGGCTCAGCTAAGTTATTAACTGACGAAATTGCATTGGAAGATTTGTGGAACCCTTTTAAGCAGGCGTTGTGACTATATCTAATGGTTTTCTCTTGGATATGTTCTTCAGAAAAGATTTTCCGAAAGTGTGTTGATTCCAAAGTTTTCTGTTCTTTGTTCTGATGAGTTTGTTTAAAATTCTTGTTTATAATAGTATGCTGAAATTTTGTCTTTAACATTTGATTTATGCAGAGACAATGCCGAAGAACAAGGGAAAGGGAGGAAAGAACAGGAAGAGAGGAAAGAATGAAGCTGATGATGAGAAGCGTGAGCTTATCTTTAAGGAAGATGGGCAAGAGTATGCACAAGTTCTCCGTATGCTTGGCAATGGCCGATGTGAAGCCATGTGCATCGACGGGATCAAACGTCTCTGCCATATCCGTGGTAAGATGCACAAAAAGGTTTGGATCGCAGCCGGTGACATCATACTTGTTGGGCTGAGGGACTACCAAGATGACAAAGCTGATGTCATCCTCAAGTACATGTCTGATGAGGCGAGGCTTCTCAAGGCCTATGGTGAGCTTCCTGAGAATACCCGTCTTAATGAAGGAATTGGTGGTGATCTTGATGAAGATGACGATAATGCCGGTGATGATTACATTGAGTTTGAGGACGAGGATATTGATAGGATCTAAGTTTGTTTTGGTTGGCCTAGTTCCAGCCTTGTAATATCAAAATTTGAGACACGCATCTTCTGAAGTACAGAAGATTTGGTGAAAACGTTGATGTTTAAATAAACAAAGTGTTATGTGTTTTGGGGGTGTTCCAGTTTCTTATGTTTACTACTGGTTCTCCATCACTTGATTCCCCAAATAATTTATAGAAAGTCATTATCAGATTCGGAAGAACATACTATTGTGAAACACAAATTATATAAACGCAAAGATTTACAGGTAATGATTATCTCAGCTGCTGATATTTATCTTCTGCGAGGTTTCATCACATTCATTTCTAATTTTGCAGCTTGAGGGAGTGGTCTTGGCCTTCTTAGCTTTCTTTGTATGTTGCTGCTGATCTCTTTTAGTTGCCTGAAGCTGAAAAAGACACATGAAACACATAATTGGCTGGTATGTTTGAGATGAATGGAAATTGGAATACCTCTATGCACTTTCTGTGTTTTTTTCTTCTTTACCCTGTTATGCACTCTCTGACTTTTGTAGCTTGGAATAGATTTGCGCTTTGATATGTTCGGTTTAAGGATGCTCTTTTCTGTCTGCAAATCTTGAGTTTGCTCTTCTACTGTCTCTGATATGCTTTCAAATTGTATATCGTTGGAAGCACAGCTCTCCAACTCGCCAGCTATACCAAAAGATATATTCTTTCTTACCAATCTTTGATTTTTCGTGGCAACATCTGTCTGAATGTTTGTTCTTGGTTCAATCGGAATGCTCTCTGGTACACGAGTTGCCATCCAGCGTTCTAGCCAACTCCAACCGATGTTGGATTCATCTTCACTGTTGCGATCTATTTGCTTCTTCTTTGAGCAAATTCTTAGCTTTAAACAAATGTTTCAAAGTTTAGCAAAAATATAAGTTTTTTTAGATTTTTAAGGGTTCACAGTCAGAATCAATTGTTTTTCTTACCTGCTGTGAAAATGCGTAAGCAAGTGCTCTCTCGCGTTTTGTCATTGCTTCGATTCTGCTTTGAATCCTTAGTTTTGATGTGGTACTGCTCACTGTGCTATCATCCCAGTCTTCCTGTTATGCGAGCATGCATATATTTATGTTATTCTTCTCTACATCTTTGAATTCCCTCTTTACTACATCAGATGTTTTGTTTACCTTTATTCTAAGAACTTGAGTTTTGTTCTTCTGTAGTGTTCTTCGGTTTGCAGATACTCGTCTTCTTCTAAAAAACGGTGCTTTCGTGGAACTACATGTCTGAACTTCTAGTGATGTCCCCATGGATACTTTACCTTGAGATTCCCCTCCTGAGAGGCTCTCTTCCTTAACAAACGTTTCTTCCACTTCTTTGCTCCGACGTATTTCCTGAAACACATCCTAAAAATCAATGGAGTGGACATAACAGAAGAAGACAACGAAAGGAAGCAAAAAACTAACCAGGTAACTCCTAAATGCTGTCTGAATTATGACTGCAGCATCTTCTTCGAGGAACTTCTTAGAGATTGGAGTAGTCTGATGCTTCTTTGGTATGTGCGTCTCTGTTGTTTCACTTTGGTTATCAACTTCTTCTTTTATTACATTTGGTTTCTCGTCCTGTAAAGGCTGAGTCACTGTTGCCTCTGAGCTTTTAACTGAAACAGAATCCTCCACTTCCTCCAAATATTGTTTCACAGACGCTGAATCTTCAGTTGCGAGAACCGAATCAAAAGGTGTTATAAAATCTGAACTCTGTTGCTGAGACATTATAAGAATAGTGTCGACAGAATCTTTGATCGATTCTGAATCATCCACAGCGAGAACAGAGTTGAATTCATCTCCGCAAAGGTATGATCTAACCGAGCTCCATCTTTTCTTTTCTCCCGGATTGCTTCTTCCCTGAAACATTACAACATCAAAGTAAGTAATATAAAAAAACAGAGTGATGAATTTTTGATGACAATGAGGACTTACATTGTTGTAGTCATGAGGTCCAAATGATTTGTTTCTGAAGAAAATGCTTCTCACTAGCCCTCCTGTACCACCCATCTCTCTCTCTCTCTCTCTCTCTGTTTCAGAACAGTTGGATAAAGAACTTTGGGAATTGAGAAATGTGAACACACACACACACACATGTGAGATTGATTATATAAAAGAAGAAGAAGAAAAGGTTACATTATGTTAGAATCACAACCACATGACTTATCTACAAGAAGAGTACATGTTAAAAAGAGATTCAAAGGACAATGTAGAAAAAAGAAAAGGAGAAAAGCTGAAGTATAGCGTATGGTGCAATAGTTATGATTGTGATCCAGAAGAAAGCATCTGTGATTAATTTAATATGAGTGAAATCGTGAGTTTATGTGGTCTCTACTTTGATTACTTTAGGAAATTCTAAAGAGTAAGAGAGATGCTTTGGAGTGCACATGGAGAGCATCGGATTGGTTCCTTTCTTATGCAAACGGCAATTTCACTCAATTCACTTTTTTATTCCCTTCACTGTCACATTGCTCTGCTTTGCTTTTCCATTTTTCCTTTTTATTGAAAATGGAAAAGTTTTGGGTACGGTTTACTGTGTCTTTAGATTGCTCAACTCGGAGTTTTGTGCCATAGAACTCTCTTTTTTACTTGTCGGCAACTCGAGTGTATGAATCATAGAAAATTAACCACGTAGGAACATATACAAAACTCACATCATTGGGTCAAACACTCCTTTCATCTAGAGTATATCGGGATGGCAAAATGTATTATTTTACAATTGGTTGTGGTTTATTAGTTTCCATTTGAGGTGAGTTATCCTGTTGATCTAGACTAGAGATTGATTCCCTTCAAACATGGAATTATTATCAATTTTCATTTGGCCAATATATCCATGGACTACACTTCCCCAAAGATTAGTCTGGGCCTCTCCATAGATTTGGGATTTACTGAGTTATATATATATATTTTTTTTTACCATCCAACACATATATATCTATACTATTATTTCGAAAACTAATTTTTTTTTGTTAAAAATTTGAAAAATTAATTTGTCAAAATAAAAAGAGAAGTTAGTGTATTTTAATGGTGACTTAAAAATATGATATGTCATATATCTTAAAATAAAAAAGAAAATTTGATTGAATAAGTTAAAATTAAATAAATTGTCAAATTAAAATATAAATACACTAGATATAACATTACAATTAATAAATTTAAAATAGCAGAAAATGATAATTACTATAATTGTTTTTACATACATTCATAATAAATTACATGAAATAGAACTACAAATTTTTTTTACAACAAATATATATTATAATTTTATATAGAAAATGAAAACAAAATAGATTATTCAGTAAAGTAGTAAATACTCTATATATTAATAATATTTTATATTGTTATTTTCTGCAATTTACGTAGATTTTATTACTGTCTCGTTTATATTTATTTTTATTTTTATTTTTTTTTGAATAAAAAGACGTTTATATCATACTTATATATATATATATATATATCTGAATAAAATTTTATTAAAGATCAAAAATTCGAGATCAGAAATAAACAAAAAACAACCGAATGAAAAAATAAATTATAATAAGATAGAATAATGTGAATAAGAAGTAGATGTTAAAATAAAAATAATACAGTTTTTTTCCGTAAAATTCCCGTGCTTTATTTTATGGAATCATTTAAAAACTTTAAGAAGCAAATTCTATAATAGATGCATTTGCATGTTAAATTTTATAATGAACATATGTGTGTAGACCAACCATAAAAATTTTGTTTTTCATCAAACCAATTCCTCAATAATGGATGAAGAGATAAGCAGAGAGCTGCAAGAGAATATTATAAAATATGATTTCAAAAATTTATTATAATTTTTGTTGAAGAAGAAAATTAATATTGAATTAACCAATGTACTATATTTATTTTTATGGCACTATTCAGAAGCAAATTTTGGGATGCTTACGGGGGTATGTAATCATCCGGGTATGGGAGATGTGTCCCCGAGTTTTGTCTTCGGGGAGGATGAGCAATATGCGGCTCCGGGGCAAAGCAAGGTGTTTCCTGGAGGCGTTACCCCGACTCTCTAACTGACTGGACACTCTTTGCCTTGTGCTTACGCAAAAAAAATCATGGTTTTAGAATCGTGAAAGGAAGGGATTTGGTTTGAGAAGAGAAAGCCTTAAAATATGGGCGACCTCAATTCTCCGAAGGTGCCTGGAAGGCAAGCGCGTCCTCGGAAGGAGCACGCGGTCCATGGGAGGAACTGGCGAGGAATACATGGAGGTCTGCGAGACCGGAGTCCCAATTCATGGATGAATTATGCCCCGGAAGGCTGATGCGTCCACGAATGGAGCACATCAAAGAATTGTGCGGTCCCCGAAAGAAGCTGGCGAAAAGAATCGGAGGTATGCGGGACTAGAGTCCATAATTCTCGGAGGAATTGTGCTCCGGAAGGCAAGCGAGTTCACAAGGAAGCAAGCTGAAGAAAATTTGAACCAAGAGTTTTTATGGAAAACGGTTTTTCTGCATGATGCCCCCGGAGAGTAAGATGGATGCAAACAAATGAATATAATCAGGAAGACAACAATCAAGCAAGGGAGAGTAAGACTACGGACGCGAGGGGCCGAGAGATCAATTGACAGAGCAAGCGTCCACCAGGGAATTCAAACATGCAATTAATACATGATACAAGACTTTTTATGTCTTGTGACTCAATTCCTCTTGAGTCTTAAATCAAGTTATTTCAGCACAAAAAGTTATCAATCCTTCATGGGGGTGGTGTAAAGAAGATACAGAAGTTTGTCTAGCTAAGTCTAAAAATAGAGGTTTTAAAAGGGCGTACACTCAACGATGAAGTAAGTGCAAACAAGTGATCAAACAAGTAGACCAAGAACAATTCTAAAGCAGAAGACTTAAACTAAGCAAGAGTGAATTCAGAGCAAGCAAAATAAAGCAGTGGAGATGATCTAAACAATAAAATGCAAAAGGTCTCAAGATGGAGAATTGACACTATAGTGGTCTTATGAATTATTAATAGTGCTCAAACAGCAATACAATGCTAATCCTTAGGCATAGAACATCAAGACAAGACTAATCCAATCCCTTGGAAATATTCCTTTTATACTAACTATACTCCTAACCCATATTCAATGGTGAAAATACAATTAGCATGCATTAAGAATCAGTTCTACAAAGCCAATAAGCACCTTAGACAACTAATTCCTTAGGCGAAGAATGCAAATCACTCATTCAACTTATTTAGGAAATTCAACAAACACTTGTGATGCTTCAAAAATCTTATAAACATGAATACCTTTTCCAAGGCCAATCAAGCATTACGATCATCAAACAAATAAGGATATGGAAGAATTAAGCACAAGACACCATTAATCAGCATCAAATCATCCTAATTACCCCATCTTAAAAATCAAAGAAACTACTCACTAACCATACTTAGAACCATAAAATATGGCTAAGCATGATTAAAGGCTGATAAACAAGAAATGATAATTACAAATCTTTATTAAAATGATCGAAGAATCAATTGATCTTCAAATACAAAAGAGAGAGATTTTTCTGCTGAAGAGATAAAAACTTGGATAACCTAAAGGTTTTTAGGCTTAGCCTATTTATATGAAAGGATAAAAATGACTTAGTCAACAAAAAGTCAAATCTCAGATTAGCCACACCATGCAGGACAGGAAGTGGCCCTCATCAGTGTGTGTGCTTGGTGTGATCTGAGATGCTCCGTAGGATACATAAGCTCGGCGTTGTTCTTCGATTGGTGTACGGTTCAGGAGGCACCGGGAAAAGCGTGGAGTGACTCTCGTTGGTGTGGACGTCGGTATGTCATGTCGCATCTTGTACTGTGGAGAGTCGCTGGCCTACGGCACATCCCTCCACGGTATGATCGCTCACGTGAAGAGTCCTCGGCATATGGCACGTTACTCGTTAGTGTAATCGCTCGCATGGAGAGTCCTCGGTGTACGGCACGTCTTTGGTTGGTGTAGATTGCACCGTGGAAGGACAGTGGTGCCCTCCACGGTGCATCTGCTCGGTATGAGCTTTTGAACACCTTGAATGTCTTCGTCTAGCTTGGTCTCCTTTCCCATTGAATCCATCACCCTCCTAATATCCCTTTAGCTTCTCAGAGACGTGAAAATACACTCAAAATGCAAGCATGTATGCATGCCTAATCTAAATGCATGCTAAGTATAATATGGATGAATTTGAGACACTTTGGACAATATAAATGATGAAATGAGATGAAAACTACACTAAATGATGTCTAATATGATGAAAGAATGCAAGCTATCAACTCCCCCACATTTGCTTTTTGCTTGTTCAAGCAAATGAGAGAGAGATGTTTGAAAATGGGAGTTCACAACCTAAAGTGTCAAATATGGAAATGAGATCAATAACTAAGTTACTAGTTCTAGGATGCAACATGATATTTGCTTTACTCTAAAAGTCTAGCCACATTCATCAAAAATAATAACAAGCACTCAAGCCTTAGTCTACACAAGCAATCAAATCAAATAACCCTCTTGCATATGCAAATAAGGTGCCTCCATTTAGCTAAGGACAATGTTCTGAGATTAAAATGATCACATTACATTCGAACTGGCTTAAGTAAATGCAAAGGATCTCTCAAGAAAGTAGAGTGAGCTTTGGTAAAATGCTAAGAACAACCTATGCATACAAAGGCAAACTTCCATCTATCCAATACCCAAAGATGATCATAAACTCTTATTTTCTTCCCAAGATCAACTCCTACTCTACCCTTTTAGTTCACCATTATTATTTTCTCATGAGGCTTCTTGGATAGTGCACTTTCCTTCCTTGATTCTTCTTGGTTAGTTGGCGTTTTTGCTTGCTTGGGCTCTTCTTGATTTTTGCTTGCGCTCTTTATCATTTGGATGTGTTGTGAACTTTGCTTGGCACACTTTTTTTTTCTTTGTATGCAGTCCTTAATACTTTTTGTTGATTAAGCCAAACCTTCCAAGGTACTTTGTGTTGCACTTCTCATCCATGCTTTCTTGTGATCTTTCCTTTCTATTGAAACCAAAAAACGAAGAACTTCCCTTGATCCCCAAAAGCCTATCCTAGTCTAGCTCAAAGAGAAAGAGCTAGTTCTATATGGAAGAGTTCCTTTGTAGCTATAAACCCAACACTTTTTACTAAGCTCATTCATAGGATAAAACCTCACAATTTCTCACTAAAGATTCATTGGCTTGAAAGGAGGCTAATGTTAAGGGAGAGGAAATCTATTTAGACTAACAAGAGCGGTGAAAAAGGATTAAATAGCCCAAATATGTATATTGTATCCATGAAAACACTTTTCAATGCATAAAACATGATAATTGAAATGTCAAAATTATGGTTCAAATAGACTAAGGGTTGAAATCAGATTATGCAAGCTTCAACTAGACAAGAGTG